ATAGTGGCCATTTAAAAAAAAAAAAAAATTTAAGGACAATTTATATATATTTGTATTATTTAAAAAAAAATAAAAGATCAAACATAAACTTTTATGATAGGATAAATAATTAAAGTAAATGAATAATCAAAGGGTTAAAGTGAAAAAAATATTTATCTACTTTAAAAAAATAAAAAAATTAATTTAAAACAAATTTATAATAAAGGATATAGATACAAACACCTTTCCATTCAATATATATCCCACAACGCAATCATCAAAAAATCAATATTTCTTGGTCTAAAATTAAAAACGAAAAAACATAAAGATTCAGCCACCCATATAACATGGAAGAACTAGTTGAACCAGTTGCACATATATTAGATTTTAATAGGTTAATTGGCTGGGTGTTGGTGATGTTTCAAATTAGAGGGTATTCAAATTATTTTTTCAAAATAAAAAAAATATAATTATTTTGGGAATAATGAAAGGAGTGATTAAGGAAGAATAATAAAAAAGGAAGGATAGAAAAGAAAGCATATAACAATTAAATTATTAATATAGAAAGGAAAAATGAGTACAGATATAGTTTAAATGATAAATATAATAAGCAAAAATGAGAGGATGAGTTAAAAGATGGTGTGATATGAAAAAATAATAAGAGACGGTAAATGGTACATAAGTTAAAAAAATCAATAGATTAAAAAAAATGATTGATACACCCTCTACTTTATCACACTGTCAGTATTAATTAATTTAATTATTAATTAAAGAGCTTAGTATATATAGGAGAAAGTATTTGTCAACCAAGTCTTACTACTCTCTCAGTAGTCAATAGAAAATGCAGAGCAGCGATTACCTAACCCCACCGGTGATATTGTTCCTAAATCATTTTCCTATAGGTATAGCCATTCCAAGAAAATGTGGTAGTCTTCCCCTTTATTTATTTTTTTCGGGGCTGAAGTTCCTCTGCATTCCGTTAGGACAAGGGAATCGACTGCTTATGGAAAATAAGTTACGTGAATAAAAGAAAACAGGCAACTAATCAAATAGAAGTTTTTAGGATTCAGGGTTCGTTTTGGTTAATTGGAAATTGATTTCCAAAATATATTTTTGGTATGTTATTGTGTTTAGTTATCATTTAAAAAATAAGTCAAACAAATTTATTGCCGTCAACAAAAAAATGAATTTATAGCTTGCTAAAAAATCATACGGTCCTGACAACCAAACGAAAAATCACCACCTTCCCCCGAAATTGAAAATAAGAAACAAAAAAAAATAATAATAATAATAAATAAAGGAAAGTGCTTGACTTGACATGCAAGGAAAGGTGGGAAATGCTGCTCATTTTCTTTTCAATTTGGAAAATGCGATAGGAATCGCCATTATTTCCTTCTCCCCTAGATTTTTTATTATTCCTACTCAATCCATAATTAAAAGATAAGCAAAATTTCCCACCAATTGGAAAGTTGCCCAACATTGACCAAAGGCCTAAGAATGGTCTAAAAGCAGAGATGAGCCGTGATGATACACCCACGTGACCAATGACACGTAATGTTAGTGTCATAAATGAAGAATATAAATACTCATTTCTTACCTCCACTAGATAATGATAACTCCATTACACTTCTAAGTTCAAAGCAAACATTAATCAAGTCTCGTTTTCTAAGTTATAAGTTCTAAATATACACACAATTCACTATCATATTGTTCCAACAGGATGGATTATCGCCATCAAATTGCACCTGGTAAAAACTGCAACATTAGAGAGCAAATCATATACTGTTGAGTACCCATTGCCACCTTCCAAAATTGCAAGCCTCCTTCCACATCGCAGGGGCAACAGAACCTACAAGGTTATAACTATGAATACCCTGAACCATTTGCATTTATGTGAAAAAAAAATCCTTCATCAATATCTAACCTACAATGATGCCACACCACGAAAAAGCATGGTTTATTTTTCAAGCTGTGACGGTTCCATGATGTCTAGGAAATGATTCCCACTAATCTTCACCAGCACAAAATGCAAATAAATAACCACATAAAAGAACACATGAGATATGCACATTCGTGTACACAAAATATCATGCAAATGCATTCATATCAGTAAGTGGCCACACCATACCAATGCGCATTCATACAACACATGACAACATATGTAGGAAACTTTTTAGCACAACTATGTCCATACAAGATCAAGTGTAATGTGAACATATGTAGGAAGACTTTTATTAACATGGAAGGAGGTATCGTAGTGAATTTGGGAATGGCACCTTTTTACGCCTGCATCTTTCAATCAAAACTCAACCCTAATTGTTGAGTTTTTAGAACCAATATTGCCACGTGCTTTGGGGAAAAAAAAAATCGCAATCTATTTTGCAGGTCTTCAACACATGTAAGTTCAATTTGCAATTTCCTTGCCTGCTGCAAAAATATAAGATAATAAACCAATAAAATATGAATCTTCTATTAAATAAAAAATGTAAATCTAAACAACAAAGAGGTAAAAAAGAGAGTCCTTACATCGAGTCAATTAAAAATATTGCTCGTGTGCATCTGTGATTGCTTTAAACAATTCAAACAACTCTTCAATAAGTGGTCCTTTTGGATAATTGCAACCTCCCTCAAAATAAGAAATTTTGGTGCTTTCATCTTCATCACTTCTTTGACAAAGACTTCTAAATTAGGATTATGCAGAATAACATTACTACAGTCAGGAAATGCATCTTCCAATTGTCCTATCAAATTTAATATGAAGATGTTATAAATGTGTGGTGGATATAGTGATCTGTGTACTAATGGGGAGGGGCAACATCAACCATTGGATTGACTTAATCCAACGGTGGAATTGAGTGGCAATCCATGCCTAATGTATACTTGAACCGTTAGATCAATATTAATCAAGGATCAGGATTAACCCAAACAAAAACACAAACTTAAAGGAAAAAGGGAAAGAAAAAGGGGAAAGATTTTTAGTTTCCTCCAGATGACACAGTGAGAACTCCTACCACTCAGATCTCTAGATCTTTGGCGATTTTCTTCGTTTTCCTCCTTGCTCAAATCATCAACTTTCATTTCTGCAGACTAATTATCATCGGCTTTCATTTTGGCAGTTCCATTTCCAATTATTATAATTATAAAATTTTATTAAATTTTCATTAATTGGGACCATTTTTTTTAGTTGCAGTATGTCTCCGCTCACAGTTACTATTAATAGTAACAATGAAGTAAAATTATATTTTAATAGTAATCTTTTGTCTTATTTTATACAAAAATTTGAGGCTCTTAGAGATACTTTAGATGTCTTTAATTACATTCAAAATTATAAATCTTGTCAAGTCCTCTTCCTAGATCCACTTCCTGTTTTTGAACTTGAAGGTATCGATTAATGCTATTTTGTACAAAGATATCTAGAAAATATAACAATAATACCAACCTTTATATTAATGAAAATTTTAATTTAACAAACGATTCTTACAATTATTAGTTAAAAAGTAACGCTTGAAATATATATTTCCACCAAAAAAGTTTTAAATATATATATTAAAAAAATTTAGAAAAACACTGTATATGCTTGAATAAAAATCTCCCTTTCTTATTTACTTTTTCTTTTTATATGATTTAAACTTGGGTTTGTTTGGGTTAATCTTGGCCCTAGATTATATTGATCAAACGGCTCAGATAGATTAGGTATGGATTGTCACCTCAACTCTCAACTTTTACCGTTGGCCCCTCTCTTAGCACACAGATCCCTATCTCCACCGCTAGATTTTTAATAACCAAGGGTTGCAGTTTTAAGCTCAGAATTTGTCCTTTTTAATTCTACCAAATTGAACCCTTGACCTAGCACATCTGTCCTTTACAATTAGGTCCTCTACTTTGCACATCAGACTCCAAACTTTAGTTTTTTGCCATTAAGTCCATTTCTTCACACATTTTGCCTCCAACTTTAATTTCATTCAATCAAGTACTTTTTCATTTATCATCACACCCTCAAACTTCCAAAATTCCTTTATTTTGGTCTTAAAATATTTAACAAATACTATATTAAAAAAAAAATTAATTCTCATATATTTTTTGGCCCTCATAGTGTAACATTGCAAATGTTATATTGTCAAGCAAAGCAAATTGTTTTAGTTTCCCAAAAGACCTCTTGATTGCTGCCTAATTTGATCTGCTAATTAATCAATTCACCTCCCTTGGAAAATTTTCTTAAAGCCACTGGGGACATTTAGAAAAAGATTAGGCAAAACCATAAGTTAAGCCCCTGAACTAATGCCAAAATCGCTATTAAGCCCCTAGACTTTAATTGATGCATATTAGCCCTTGAACTCTGGGATCAAAGCAATTAAGCCCTTCTTCTTACGCCAACTTAACTGCCGTTTGGATTGCTCGCCTGACTTAACTGCCGTTGACGACACACCCCGCTTGGCTGCTTGGATGGCAAAATATTGCCATG